TAAAAAAAAAACTTAGTTTACACACAACAGTTGGGTTGACTAAAGCCACAAAGAAATTGCACTATGGCTTACCATAATACACAAAGCAGACCATTGTGGAAGACTAACACATCATTCAATACAGAGTTAAAAATCTAGTCCCAATTTAGCAAAGGCATCAAGATTCAGGGTGTGTCACTATTCCCCATTTTGATATCCTCTGCAATTCCTAAAATATTCATCTAGGACCATCATGCAGGTTGGGAATGCTGAGAGCTGTAATAGCAGTGTATCTGAAGGGCACGAAGCAGGGAAAGCTGCTCTGAACACATTTCCATCAACCAAAATTCAGGATAACAGACTAGCATTTCTAGCTAATATCAATTAAATGTTGCAGAGTATTAATGAAAGATATAGTATTTTAATACCAACCTCATTTCTTTTTCAGGCTCTATCACATAACTCCCACTTGCCATAATTAGTATTTATGGTTATAATCAGATCCATGCTTACACTCTGCACTCACATTTTTATCACACAAAATGCTGAAGATGCCATTTTTCATCCTCTATTTTTAAAATTTGCACCATAAAAGTTCAGGACCCACCTGCCCACTGGAAAAGATAAATACAAGTGCTGAGCCAGCAGCTGTCAATCCCCACGTCAAGAAGGTTCCTAGCAGCGCTTGCAACACTGGGTTGTAACCAGGTATCATAATGAATGGTCCTGGGTTTGATGATCTGGTAAACATGAAAGGAACATTTGGTAGAAAGCTTAAAATCTGACCCAATCAAAATTAATTATCCCCCTTCAGAAACACATTCTATTTGTCTATTATTCTATAGCTAGAAAGTTCTCTGATTTGTATCTCCTACTAAAGTGTTTCTATTGGAGTTGTCAACGTGCTACCTATGGTCAACCATGTATGCATAGAGTGCCTGTTGGTGTTTATTCATTCATGTATTATTAGATACTTGTAAGTAAAAATAACTGAAATTAGAGCAAAGCACTAGCCCTTAGTATCATCATTATTTACAATAATGGCTCTGAATTCATTTTGGCTCTATAGACATTTTTAGAAAAGAAAAACGATGAACAGAATTATGCTACCAGTGGAAGTGTACCTACCTGTCCGGGGGAAAAAAACCAAAACTCCCAGGTAAGCTGAAGTGGGGGGTGAAGCAATGTCATCTGTTTGCCTTCTGATTAATTACTGTTTTGTGACTGGTCACACCCACCATTTAGGACCTATTTAGTGAAGAAAGGCTCCTCATGGTAGCCATTTGGTAAGAGCAATGAGCACATACCCTCAAAATTTCAAATATTCCCACCCCAAAAGATTACAGTACCTATTCCTGCAATGGAGGATGACTTGAGCAATATTGGAGATATTGTAGGGGAGCAAGTCACAGTTTAGCCATAAACACATTTGGGAAGGGTCCTTAGAAGAATTCCTCTTTCATTCTTGTCAATTCCTCATAAAATTTTAATGTGGCTGCAATCCTTTCTAAGCATATAAATCCTTCATGAACCAAGACTTACAACTAGCCAAGTTCATACATAACACTAAACCATGAGCTGTTTAAACAATGATTTATTGAACAAGCATAGGGGCCTGGTTCATACTAAACCATAAATAATTGTTTATAAGGTACATCAGGTGGGTTCCTAATCTTTGGGTTATGTTTTTGACTTGTATTAGTTGAGGTCATTGGCTGAGTTGAAAGTAAAGGAATTTTGCCTCTCAAATGAGTCGTTCTTCTCACAAAAGAAGCTATGTCACAAGTGAAGAGCTGCAACAGGAGTGAGAAGAAACAGTCACAGAACATTCTCCTACCATCGATTTCTGCCACAAAAGATTCTTAGATTGCATCTGAGAACTTGCAACCCATGTGGGGGAGGGCACTATTCTAGGTTACCATAATTCAATCAGTCTATGTGAAGTTCCAAAATAATCTTATCATCGCCAATTTAGCCACTGCAAACAATTAAGATTTCCTCAATTTTAATCACACTGGATTTAATCCATCTGTTTAGGCCATTTTGTGTGCAAATATTTGATAGCCCACCCAGAATGCAAAAGGCACCGAAATGAATGGTCTCTTTGCCACACCGTAAAATACACATTTAAAGAAACAACTGTTTGCAGTCCATTTTTAAAATAATCAATCCGTAGAAAATTCTAAGATGTAAAATTGCCAAGGAGAAATTCTTAGATCATTTTTTTCCCAGAGCTAATCCCGGGTTTTTTTATGTTTAGAAAAAAACTCCTAAATTATGCCACAAGGATTTTGGTTGCCTGGGTGTTTGTCTTCAATGTATTCTCCTGGATTTTTAAAAAAAATTAGTAATAGCCCATTCTATTAAAAAAAAAAAGTAATTCACTACATACACTCAGTATGATCACCCAGACGTTGCAAACTACAGCGGATACTCCAATTCCGGCAGTCACTTCCTGGTTCCTTTGTACACGTGTCTCTCAAACCGACGTGGCTCCACCTACTATTCTCCTTCAGCCATTGGCAACGCAGCCTGGAACAGCGGGGTAAATTTTGTGGTACACGCCTATTGATTTGTGAAAAAAGTGAAGCGAGTGGCTCAAAAAGAGAATTTGTTTACCCTTATTTTTGAGAACCGTGGACTACTGCGTTGTTTCCGACTCCTACCGACTGTCAGAGCCTACCAAAACAAACAAAAATCATAGATGACAGACTTGTTAAAAACTGTTCTTGTTTGCACATCCCAAGAGCATGAACAACCAAGAATGTGTCAAGTACTGTACTTTATTTTCATTTAGACTAGAGCCTCTCTGGCACTCTGTCGCTCAGTTACTGCTGCGAATGGCCTCGCTGCTTTTTCTCGAGCGTTTCCCCATTGCTTAGCCTTGAAATAATGTTTTCTCCATATCTACATAGGACTGTTTTGCTCTCTTTGGGAAGGGAATCAAGATATTGCTGTTCAGTCAACCCTTTCTTGCATAGGAGTAATAATGGTTTTAATTATTTTTATTTGATTTTACCCAATTTATATTTTATTTTTGATCATTGACTGTTGTGAATGCTATATGGGTAGAAAGGCTGACGAAATGATAAAAATAGAGTCCATTTAAGCTTGTCATAATAAATTTGATGGCTTGAAGGTGCCATAAGGTAAGAACTTTTGTTGCTTACAGAGAATACCAATAAATTGAGCCAGAAGTTCAGAGTGGGACACAGAAATTTTAGTTTAGATTGGACTGTTGCTTCTTGCTTGCCATGTTGCTTCCATCTGCAGTAATTACTGTTTTCTGTTTGCATTGCAAAGGCTTTACTACATAAAAATAGTGTAAGGTTCATGGCTACTCAGAAAATTTGAAATCCATCAGCAGCACAAAATAAGAGACTTCAAGCAGGGACTTCTCTAAGCAGCGTTTTATTTGGC